ATGCCTCTGAAAGAAAGATCAATGCCTGGACAATATTCTTAAAGAAACGATAAAACATTTAATCTAAGAAACAAGTTTAAATTAAAGAACATATAATTAACAATTAGCGATGAAAAATAAACAAAAGAAATTAAATTATTAACTGAATTTCTACAAAAGTTCTACCAAACAACGGTGAAACAATTAACAAGAAAACTGGGCCATCGTTACGCAAGAAATTTCTCGAGCAGTGTATAATACTAAACAATCCATATCTCTGATTCGACAGCCAGAGTACATTCATTCAAGCAGATATCTTCGAGCGCCGGTAATTTCATTAAAGTAATCTCAGGGTGGTGTCGAATTGAATCGTATTTGACTCAGAGCTAAGTTGTTATTTTACCCTGAAACGATGCGACTTGTCCATTTTAATGATCCTAAAGGTATCGTTAGCTAGGTCTGGACTGATAGACTGCCTGAAGGGTAAAACTCAGATAAAACGCATTTAAGACATGAGGTTACTACAGATGGACACACCAGAGTATTCTTCCCGCATCGTGATTCTAGCAGATCAAAAAAAGAAGCATTCAAACCTTTGCATGCAGAAAGAATTCAAGCATCGGAACAAAGATCAACAGCACGAATGTCGCTTCCATGAAAGCAAACTGAAACATTCGTTTCAAGAAAAATGACACCTTTTTCATCTTCCAAGTCTACTTCTCCTTTCGGGTCGCAGAGGCTCAGGTATCAAATGATGCTTCCAACGTTCATATTCTCCCTCAAAATTGGGCGCATAGACTTGCATCAGGGTCAACACTTTAGTTTGAGGATTAACACCCTTCAGCTCACAGACTTCCAATCAATAATTCTATCGGCAAGGTTGGGTTCTACCAGAACGCCAACACCGGCCTGAGCGCGAGTCGTGATATCGACGTCTGAACAGAACAGCTTCCATCCGATGAGGTTCAGGAGTCCAGAGACTGGGCGTTTCGTTGACGAGAGTCCAACAATGTCGAGTTGGTACTCTATGGCCTCATGAACTAACTCTTGTTCTTTCCTCTGAGTGTCGATATGTTTCAATTTCCGACTGCAAGCTCCCGCGGGCGGTGTTGTTCTGGAGGAGCCTTTTCTGTCATGCTATCATGGCACGCTATCCCCCTCCACCTTTCAGAACGGGTAGCGACTCTAGCGACTCCGTTGCTAACTGCTTTCGTCGTCGTCGTTCCGTCAGTCTTCGTCAGCCGTCGTTGTGCTGCTACGCCCCGACTGACAGAGGGCAATGAGCAGGTTCTGATCGCCGACATTTCGCAGTCTGTCTCAGTCCCCCCAACAGCCTGCGCGGCCCTTGATAACCCGGGCGACGACCGAACCGGTATAATTTTCGATGGCGTCAAAACCGAGTGGCAGGTGGGGAAGTTTTACGGAGATTTCGCCAAGGTCTTCGACCTTCCTCCTTTCTCAACCTGGCTTGGGACCGGCAACGGCGGAGTTATAAAAAAATGAAGTTTCAATATTTCTACACATGAGAAATGGGCAGAAAGTAACCTCTGTAGAAGAACTACAATTTATAATCATGTATCTTATTGCGTTTGCAAATGCTGTTATATAGCGTCCATGAAAGATAGGCATATCACCATCCGTAGGAAAATAAAATCTATATGAGGAGTAAACTCTTTAAAAATCCTTGACGATGAAGTCATTTAATTAATAAACATTCTCTGTGTATAAAAACAGTACTTTGGAATCTTATTTAACAAAAGACTTTCAAACATTCATAATCGTTCATCAATCGTAAAACAACCAGCACGAATGTTAAAGTCATACCGACATTCTGCTATCCAAAACGGTTGCCGTCGACACCGGGGTTCCCTTTTTTAGCCTGAACTTATAATTTCGACTTAAGTCATGAAAATTCTTAATACTTTCATTTACCCTCTTAAAACAGAGCGCGGAAGATATTTCCACATCGCACTTAAGTCTAAGGCGCAATCAAGCATGATACAAATTCTGGGCCATTTTAGAATTATACATGGAAAGGCCTGAGCTTTGGATAAGCTCACCTAAAGTATCAGTGTTAATCACTTTTCGATATCAAAAGAACATACCATTTGCACTACATCCATCACTGATACAGTACAATATTTCCAACGATCCCAAACAACCGCGCGTAAACACTGTGCGATGTACAAAACAAACGATGTGCAAGACTTATTCAAAAGCAAGGAGTTCTGCAAACGAAGTTGATATGACTCTGTGGAGTGTTAGCGGCATACATCAATACAAATGTCAGCGAATCACAAGGCCTCCTCTTTATCATAATTAGCGGTGTTCGATTCATGACTGGATCAAGGTTACTTAATGAGAAAAATTTAGTTTTTTGTCATTTTTATCCGTCTTTATCCGGAGAACATTTTCAGCTAATTCTCTTATCGATCTGCAGGTCTTCTTTACGGTGGTTTACTTTTTCCTGGTATCCACTGCAATGTTTGTTCCATCCAGCAATGATCGATTTCTATTGCAGTGTGTCCTACGTTTAACCACTTCGCTATGTCCTGAATCATCACGTTAATTGAGCTGTTTCTCTAGTTATTTATTGTTAGATTCCATGAAAGCGTGTAATCGGCTATTTAATTTCAATTGGAGCAGTGAAAGGTACATATTTTATGTCTTAACGTCGAAATCTTCCTTCTTTTCAAAGTTACGTCTAGGCCTACGTCAGAACTGACGAGCCTATAATTGCGTCAACTCTATGACTTCGTAGAACATGTTTTTCATCCATCTGTGGATGAAATCGATAACATTTTTGAAATCATTTGGACTTCTCCATCACCGTTCTTTGCTAGTCTGAAAAAGGAACTTGTTGGTGACAAATAATTCTTTGCAAAAAGTTTCACTAGTGGGTGGTCCCACTCGCTCCTTTTCTCATACCGAAATCTGTCGACTGGTCGTCCGTTTCCCTGCTGAGAACTGACTTTCATTTCGGAAACTTGTAGTGATCCACACATGTTTATGCGCTTCCATTTTTTCGTATAAATCTTCAATCTCTTCATCGGGATGACTTCATAACGGTGTATGCACTTCGAAGATTTAAAGTTACTATCAATACAAAACTCTTGCAGTCAGTGCTGCGCAACTCTCTTGGGTAATGTACTGTTCTCTAATGTTTTGTAGATAATGAACTCTACTTTTCCTGTGGTTGCATTAACCGATCCTCTGTAGAAGACTAAGTTTCTCTGCCTAAGCTCTGATAGCCCATCTGTCTTTGGTATAACTTGCTAGGTTCCGCAATGTAACCTCTTACCATCTTATGTGCTTCTTACAGTTCTTGAAGCCTGGTTTCGCCTGACAGTGATCTGCTGCTATACATTACTATCGTCACTAACTCGTGGCTGCTCCGATCCGTAACTAGGGTGATTTTAGAACATCTGATTTCATGTCGCAGCAGGCAATCCAGCATCAAGGTAATTTTATCCGTAGTTCTCATTGTAATTTCTTCTTGGAGGATATAGCAACAGCCCACCGCGTTGGCCAGTCGGGTTGACACGTATTGCCCCCTTAAGCCTCGTCATGCCGGTGTGAACCTGTGAGAGGTTTGCGACTCAGCTAGAGCCTAGAGAGCGCGTTATAATGGTCATACTTTGACCAGTCACAAATGGTGGAAAGGAAGCCGACCGATATATCCTGTAACATATTTTCATTCCGTTTGAATGCATCGTAGCGCCCTCTGTCCCGCGAGTATGTCTATTTCAAGCAGTGCTATTCGTTTTGGTATATCTAACATACTCAACCGACTTTATATTACATTGACATCAGATTACCGCCTGTTGACAGAATGCCATCCACATAAACGCATTTCGTTCATTAAGAATAAATTATCGTCGTATTCTTCTTCATCATCATAATCATTATCGTCGTAATCGCCATCGATAGGTTGATTATTTTATGATGTGATAAATAATTTTACTAGACTTATCAGCCATCAGCAACAAACGTGTAAAAATATTTGGAGAAACAACAAAATCTTGAGCAGAAAATTGTTGTCCGATTCGTGGTTCAATGCACGAAATAACACAGACATTTGCAGAGTTTATCCTCAGCATGTCTATTCAATCTATAGTTTCATAATGGCACCACGACGCCATTCTCATTGTTAATCGTTTCTACTAAATTTCGCTTGCTTTCGATGGAACCGTGTAAAAGCATGGTACGCAGTAGTAAAGCAGGTGCCGCACTACTGCTGTTATTTAAATATGTATTTTGATAATACGCTGTAAATCCACTGAGAAAACGCATAACCACTTCATCTTTTAATATTTAATTTAATTTCTGGGCTACAAATAAAGTTCAAACCAGTATCACTTACGACCAGGACGGAAATGGAATCGACTAGACTGAGACGCAATGCGTACTGCGAATCAAAATCGTTAGTGCATTTACTTTTGTAGCTAATGTGCCACTGAAAAATGGTTCGTTCATTGAACACGGTTCCGGACCGGTAAGTTTTTACCACTGAAACTGATAAACTGTCAGGATTTTCAGCTAATTCATTGAATTCAGAGGCAACTTTTGTAATGTTCCGTTGCTTGTGCGTTTTGGCTGTTGTATTTAACTCTGTGTTAGAAAGTTAATATGTAGCTATATCTTGTGCTAAATAAAATACATCACTTCTCATGTGAATCACATCAAAGTGCATGCATGAAGGGACGATCGCATCTGACATCATGGCCATATCTGGTCACGTGTGGTATGGTTGAAATAATTTACGCTCTGTAACTCTGAGCCTAAATGATGTGATTCGTACGACTACGTGAATAACTGAGCTGCAACGTGACATGAAAGGTTACAGCTTGTATCGGAAAGAATCTCTCGAATGATCGTTTATTGTGTGTGATTCAGAGAAATGATCATCTGGCCTTCCAAAAAATGTGGGTCTGACGATGGCGAGCCTAATGTTCGCAGAACAGCTACAATGGTTGAGTAATAGGCATTGCGTTTCAAGCAGGCTGGTCTTGAAGTCATTTATGGCGTTCAACGACAGAGTGATTGTTCTCATTGACGTCAGTTCGTACCAGCAACGGTTAATGAAAATTGCTCATTTTCCGTCTGTTTATAAAGTGCAACTTATTTTCATCCTAACTTGTAGACAATGTTTCAGATGGCTAGATTACCTGCCGATTGGAAAGGTGATTCGAAACACGCGGTTTATATGCTGCAAAGTTCCTTTGAAGAAGGTCTTCTGCAAAAATGTTTTTTGTTTCCGGTTTAAATAGTTTTTTTGCAGGCGATCATTCATAAAATACGAAACCCCTCAGAATGGTTCAGACCGGAAGATCTGGCGTTCGCCGTCATCCAGTATGGATACCAACTTGGCCTCGTCATTGATCTTACATACACCGATCGTTATTATTCGAAAACGGTATATCTGAAGTGCTCTTTATTTAAATTGAATTTATTGTTTGCCTGCATGTTTTATATCCCTGCTGTTTGAATACATCTTAAATAGTCTCTTGTGCACTGAGCTTAGCTGCTGTTTCATTTCCTCCGGTGCTGTTACAAAGTAATTATCAGGACAGTAGAGACTTCTTAGGGAAAAATGAAGTGTTTGTAGTCACGCTTACAGGAAAGTCGAGCACAGTACTCACTTTCAGTTTCATGTATATTTTGACCTGCCATTATCTTTTGTTGATTTTCGACTTTCGATTGTTCATCTATGGCTTCATAAGCCTCGAAAATCTTAACTCAATTTCGATGCTGGATGTTTGCCTTTCGTAATTTTATGTGATGACTAACATTTACGCATTATTCAGTGTATTCACTTCACTTTCCATTACCAATCTCTTTCGGGTCGCGAAAGCAGACACGACAGGCAGTACTTGCAATGTTCTCTGTTCTTTGCCAGCATTTGACCTTCGGCCAGAAAATAATCGGACTCGCGAGAAGACGCCTTCAGTACACTTGCATTGGGTTAATCTTTGTCATCCTCTAGTCTTTCTGCCCGTCAGTACTTGTTTTGCTTTCCTTTCTAGAGGCATTCGCAACTCAAGCTCTAAACCATCGCAGCTATGACTTCTCAATCTGAAGAAGCAGAGGCTGTTCACCAAGGCTCTTGCGAATGTCTGTATTTCATGCCATGTCCAGAGGCATAAGGCCATCGACTCGTCTCCGAAAGGCTATTTCAGCAGCTTGTACTCGTAATCGAAGCTTTTCAGTCGTGGTCCACGACTCGCTTCCGTGGTAAGCATGGGGGATAAAATTCAGACTCAGCTTTGTTATAGTCACAATGGTTGCTAGTTCACAAAGAACGCCACTGGCTAATCCAGTCCGCAGATCGATCTCATCCTCAAATTTTCCATTACCAGTGAGTACGAACCCCAATTACTTGAACTACTTCACCTGCTCCACTACTCCTGCGTTAATCTGAAGAGAGCAACGGGCAGGAGAACGAGATAGCACTAGGCTTTCCCTTTTAGGTGCATGCTGGCCACGTCGCACTCGCCTGCGAACCTTTCCTGATAGTGCTGTTATTCAGTTTCAGAAGATGCAAACAAAACAAGTCGTCTGCAGACAGCAACCTTCTTTCGACAAACAGACACTTTCATTAAGCCGGATATGAATGAATATTCTGTCCTTGTACAACAAACAAAACAGGAGAAGGGACAGAATTTGACCTTCGTACAGACGAGTGCGAGCACTGAAAGGTCTCGACTTAATGCCATTTACTCTGACGCAGTACCTCTTAGTAGTTTATAGTGATAGAATGGCCCGTAACAACTAAGCATCGATCCCGTATGTTCGCAGACACTACGACAGATTGTTGCGCAGGATCCAATTATAGGCTTTCTCTAGGTCCTAAAAGGGCATACACACCGGGTGAGCAAACTCATGATTTCGCAACAGAGGGCAACGAGAAGATTGTGATCGCCAGCTTTTCGCAACCTGCTTCCGTCCGTCGACAGCCTGCCCGGCCATTATTAACTCGTGCTTAGCCGATATAATGTTTGATGACGGCAGTGACTTAGTGGGCATGTATCTAAGTCTTATTGAGACCTCACCACAGTCTCTAACTCTCTTCCCCTCTCATCTGGCTTTGGGATCAGTGTCGGAGTTTGTTCGATATTCAGT